ACAAAACAGTCATTATAATAATTCCTGTACTTTTATTAAATAGAGTTTATTGTGTAAGTGTTTCTTTGGCTTTGCGTTTGGGTTGTATACGAGTGGGTTGTGATAACGTGGTGTGTTTATGTGAAGAAGGAGTTTTGTGTTTTTTAACTGTGCTAGGACGTGTAACTTTATTGGGTGGACCTGTCTTTGTAGTGCATGTTGCGTTACTTGTATTTATGGTGTTTCTTTGTTCTTGAGGTTGTATTTGTGTGGTTGCTTGGGTTATTGTTGGAGATATTACAGTATTTTGTGAGCCTGTAGTGCTGTTAAGGTTTTTGCGTTTGGGTTGTATACGAGTGGGTTGTGATAACGTGGTGTGTTTCTGAGAAGAAGAGTATTGTGTTTTTTAACTGTGCTAGGCCGTGTAACTTTATTGGGTGAGGGCCTCTTTGTAGTGCATGTTGCGTTACTTGTATTTATTGCGTTTGTTTGTTCAGGAAGTTGTGTTTGTGTGGTGGAGTTAAGGGTGGAGATATTACAGTGTGTTGTGTGTCATGTTGTGAGTCTAAAGTGCTGTTTAGGCTTTTGCGTTTGGGTTGAATACTAATGGGTTGTGATAATGTGGTTTGCTTCAGAGGTGAATCTCTGATTGTAGTATATGTTGTATCATTTGTTGTACTTGTTTGTTCGGTAAGTTGTATTTGTGTGTTTGTTTGGGTTAGAGGTGGAGATATTACAGTATGTTGTGTACCGTGTTGTGAGCGAGTACTGTTGTTTACATGTATACGTTGTGGATCATTTCTGTATGTAGTATCTTGTGTTATGTTTAGAAATTTACGAACAATATGGCATGTGTTGATAATGACTGCTTTTTGTAAATGTTTGTATGTGTTTTTGTCTAAACCTAATAGTTGTAAATTGTGGTGTATTGTCTTTGGTATAACTCCGGTAGCACTAAGAATAATGGGAACTATAACAGTAGATTTCATTCTCCATTGCGTCTTAAGCTCGATAGCTATATCGGTGTATTTGCGGTGTTTTTCTGCATGTGTTTTAGTTAAGTTGTTAGTGTTGGGTATGGCAATGTCTATAATACAAATGGATTTTTGCGTTTTATCAATAAGTGTAATATCTGGTCTATTATTGTGGATAGTTTTGTCTGTGAGTAGTGTCCTGTCCCAATATAATTTGTGTGTGTTGTTTTCAAGTATGATCTGTGGCGTGTATTTGTAGTATGGTGTCGTATCTGTTATGAGATTGTGTTTAAGTGCTAATTTTTGATGTATGATTTTAGCTACCTGATCGTGTCGATGTTTGTATTCAGTTTGTGCAAGTCGTGTGCATGCCGATATTATATGTTGGATTGTTTCTGATGTTTGTGAACAGAGTCGACAAGAATCGTTTGTCACTGTTTTGTCTTTATGTATGTGTTTTTTATAGTTGCGTGTATTAATGACCTGGTCTTGTATTGCTAACATGAAACCCTCCGTTTCCGGGAAAATATCACATTCAGACAACCAAGTGTGCGTTGCTATAGAATCAACACAATCCTGACTAACCTCTTGTGGAAATCGTCCATGCAACGGCTTTTGGTTCCATGTCTGTATGTTATTTGTGATGTATGTAAGTTTGGATGGAGGTGGGAGTATATTAGTTTCGTGTAGGTTAAGTGGCGTGTAAGATTTGTCTGCATATGTTACTGTTTTGTGTAGGACTGAAGTATCTGTTTTGTTATAAAAGTATTGTCGCAAATTGTGTATTTGTGTTTGGTGCAATAGTTTTATATCTGTTAGTCCTCTACCTCCTTCCGAACGAGGAAGGTAAAGTCGTATAGTAGAGGAGTGAGGGTGATATATGGTGTTTTGTTAATAGTGTACGTGTGTTTCTCTGTATTTGTTCTAAATCTGTATTTGTCCAACGTATAATCCCAAAAGAGTATGTAAGCACTGGTGTGGCATAAGTGTTAATAGCCTTGATTGTATTTCTACCGTGTAATTTTGTTTTAAGTATACTGCGTACTCTTTGTAGGTATTGTGTAATAAGTGTTTGTTTTATACTCGTATGTTTAATGTGTGTGTTTTGCTGAAAACCAAGATACTTATAAGTTTCATTTTCGTCCATGGAATTTATTAAATTACCCTGTTCTAGCTCATAATCTAAAAGTTCTCTTTTACCAGCTGTGATGTGTTGTGTTTTACATTTATCGATTCCAAAGTCCATTTGTATGTCACGTGAGAATGTTTCGGTAATGTGTAGAAGGTGATTAAGTTTTATGCTTGTGGAAGAGTATAATTTAAGATCGTCCATGTAAAACAGGTGTGTAATGTTGTGATGTATTTCGTGGTTGTGTTTAATATTGTACCCAAAGTTAGTAGTGTTTAACAAATATGAAAGTGGATTAAGAGCAAGACAAAACCAGAGCGGACTTAAAGAATCGCCTTGAAAAATGCCTCTTTTAATTTGTATTGGGTCAGTAATAAGTTTTGTGTCGTTTAGTGTAAGTGTTAACGTAGTGTTCCAACATGACATTATGTAATTGAGGAATTGTGTAATATTGTTGCTGACCTTGTATATTGAAGTACTTGTTGTAACCAAGAGTGTGGTACTGAATCGAATGCTTTTTTGTAATCAATGTATGCAGTGTGTATGTTTCGTTTGTTATGTCTGGATTGTTATCATTATTATTATTATTATTTCGTAAAAATTTGACAGTTCGAAATTTTTTTTAGAGAAACTAAATCGCGCAGGCGGCTAATTTTTGAATTGAGGTTTTCTTTGTATCAGTAGAAAATTTGTAGTTTTGGTTACCCAGAGGTATATTTTATTTAGGGGGGTGCCATTTGAAATTTTTGAAAAATGTTACTTTTGGCGAAGGTCAATCAAAAATTCATTTTTTTTGTGTAAAGTACTTAAAAAAAATTTTGTGACTATGAAAGAGGTCTTAACCTGTGCCTCAATTCAAAAATTAGCCGTCAAATTAGAACTGTCAAATTTTTATGAAAAACGTTCCATTTTCGTACCTACAAAGATAAAAAGCTTTCGATGTTATTGTAATATCGCCGCTATTTATGGAGCAATTGCCGTTCAAATAGAAGATTGCTAGGAAAAGGGTGTAAGATTGGAAGAAGGTCTTCGTTGTCCTACTTTGCCATAATTATTTGAAAAACCGGAGTCGCGTTTACCTGCATTCAATGCATCATTACAATATTCGTTCAAATTGTATATTAAATTTAAGATAGATTTCTCAGTGAGGATTCGAAACTTACATGATATTGTTTGTATTCTTAAATTGTAACCTATAACGCTTGCATCATAAATGAAGCAGGCATTTGACAGTATTTATGGATTTAAAGATATAATTCAGGTAACGTATCGATTTTGATCTTGGTGAAATATTTAAAATTTGTGCTTCATCTGAGCACAACGTATAACATTTACCCAAATTAAGTTTTGGATATACCAATTCCACATTATTTATTTACCACATAATACATAACAGGTTTTTACGAGGGTATTTATATGGCCAAAGCAAAAAAGGTAAGTTTCATTCAAGGAGCTATAACCGCTACGTAAGGAGCAAGTCAACGAGCCAGTTAGTAAATATCAACAAACAGGTGGCGTGCTAACGTGGAGGTAACATTTTCAAGCAGTGACAGATCATAATTGCTGTTCGCGGGAGCACAACGAAAACGACTAAAACTAAACAATCCGCATAGTAACACATTTTCCAAGAATACGAAAATTTTGCCCTATATAGGTATCATAATACAGGGTGGATTACTTTTGATATCCGGAATCCTTTTCGTACTGACTCACATTTGAAGAAAAAATAGCATAGGTATATTATGCGGAGCCAAAGTGATTTCTTATGAATCGTCGGTATTTTGCCACACTGACTCGCCATAAAAAGTATCACTTTAGCTCCATATAATATAATATACTATTGCAAACCTAACCTACCTCCGGAAACACACTATACTTTCTCAACCATCCCATTAGTTTAAACATTTGACACCAGGCCCAAACGATATACTGCTTGTGCTTGCTATGTTGCCACATCATCCCGCTTCATATTTCAGCCTGGCAAGCCCACTCGTTTTAGAGATGTGAATTTTGGAAATTTTGCTGCCAAGGAATGAATTAGAACCAGAATCGGCCGGATTTACTCCTGATTGTGATTGCTCATGTGGAAAAAATGCTCGAAAAAATGTTAAAGCAAATGTTCAATGAATTTTCGCTTAAGGAAGGGTTCAGAAGTCTCATTGGTACTAGTTTTGGTCTAAAGATGGAGCTAAATGTTCCTCAATTTTTAACATTTGTCGATAAGGCTAAGATTATTGATTTAGAGTACGGGACAAAGCAGCATACGGCTTAGTAATCGTATTGGCAACTTGAGGGATACTGGTGTTCATTCACAGACTTTAACGGTAGCTATAAGAATAAATAAACGAGCATTCGGTGGAATGGAAGATTGTTTTTTTTGTATCTTTTAATGTCTATGGAGCATTGTTTTATTAGTGGATTCCGGACGTCTGGGGATGAGGTGTGGGGAAATTGTATCATATTCAGTTATTTTAATTAGTTGATTACAACTGCGAATTCGGCATAAGGTCATTCAGCATTGTTTAAACTTGATTTGTTCCAAGTTCCAGGTAGAAAATCTCCAAATTCAAGGGTCCATCATGACTATTTATAAGGTAAATTTTGCAATTGTTCTTTATATTGTATTATCTTTGAATTAAAATTAAGGGTAATTCACAGAATATCGTGGAAATTACCAATATAAAAATGTTATGAAGGAAATGTAAATTGAAACCAGCTCACTTTTTAAATTTTTTCAAAGTATACGAAATTTTATGGTCATTTGGTGTTTTGCAAGCAAGCACTCTTCAGATAATCAAAGTTTGAAGTCAATTTTCAGCTAAACCTAGGGAAGGAGAAGTTTCTTATAAGTTAGTAAAATTGACATACATTTCAAGTCATATTTAAAAAATCTCTAATTTATTTCAAAGAAGGGAAGTTCAACTCTCTTTCTATGCAAAGACTGTTGCAAGACAAGAACAAATTATACATTGTTGGTTCAGTCGAGAAGAGACACGGTATACCAAGACAAAATGCTGCACATACAATTGGAAGAACAACTCACCGTCGTTGCTTACGTCCTCATTCTCGTCATCATCGGAGCAATCCGAAACTTTCGCGTTAAACAAGTTGCCTGTCCTCCTCCGCCGCGTCGAATAACTATGCACAGGAACTAAAAGTTTCGGCCGCGGTATTAGAAAATCACCGTTTCGCTCTTGTCGTCGCACCCTCACACTGTCACCGTTCCCGTAAGCGTCCTCGTCCTCATCACTACTACCACTAATCGAATTGTTAGGAATGTTTTTTGGGGGAATTCTCTGTCGCAACTTCTTCGGGGAGTTCAACTCGGACCTGGGCTCTTCGTTGGTTTCGCTCGAAAAACCATTCAAATGGTTCGCGCTGATTGTACGTTTGAAGTTGGCCGTTTCGAACTTGACGGCCGCCCTGCCGTCGCCCACCCACTCGTGCACCGGCACGTGGGTCACTTTTTTACTGTTGACGGTGTGGTCGAAATCGTTTTCGCAAAATCGTACGGATTTGGACGCGCGAGGCGAGTTCGATTTCGGCCACATGTCGTAGCTGTGAACGTCGTCGCTGATGTACAAATTGGTCGATGAGTTGTTGCTGCTCGAGCTGACTGAGGAAAGAGAGCGCTGGGCATCCGTCCAGTTCGCTTCATATTGTAATCTTAATGCGGTATTTAAGACATTACTGTCTAATGACAAGGAGTCGTTTATAACGTCGTTTATGGTCGATATGTTTATTTTCATGTTTAATGATCCTGCATCAAATGAAAGAGCATTGTAGCGTTTAATTGACGAACGTGTATGTACAAGAAAGCCGGCAATTCAACCTTATGTAGACATTTATCGTAAAGATAAAGCCCTGTGTATATAAAGGCAATATAATTTTAGACTTATGACATGAACATGGAGTGATACCTTAGAAGTGTTGCAATTGGTTCGTTCTGGGCATGCGCACTTTTGAATCTGTTACATTATGATAATGCAAAGATCGAGGCAAAGATAAACTGTAGCTTGACTAAGACTGAAGTTAACATGACAACGCTGCTTGCACTACGACATGATTGGTTATTTTAAATTGCCCGCCTGATGCGCATTCAATAAAATATGTAATTAGGCTGTCGAGCTATACGTATGTTGCTCACATTTTTCACGTTATCAAAAATATCAACCGCATCGACATCCATATCTATTCCAGAAATGAAAAACGCCACTTTCAATAAAATAATACGAATGTTTTAAAGATGACAGATGACAAATATGGACGTATTTTGAACGTCGGTAATTCCGACTTAAGTTGTGGATTTCGGCGTCTTACTTTTACAGCTTGGTAAATGTTTGTGACAGTTTAAGGCCGACTTGGAACTCAAGCTGAATCTTAAGCTGTAGGTAGAGCTTAAATTGGACTGGTGCACCGGCCTTAAGATTCCTATATATTGAAATTTCATATTTTTATGCCAGAAAGCTACATTTACTGTTCGATTTTTAAGTTCAACGAAAACGAGAATCATTTAAATTGTGACCAGTGTGAATATGAAACCAATAATATAAATCCCGTTTTAGAAAACATCAGATTACGTATAGCGCTGCAAAGGATTTTAAATGCAGCCAATTTCAAATCTAGTCTAAATGCGCATCTGTTAAAACACAATAAGCTCAACAATTTTAATTGTGCTCAGTGCGATTACAACACTTACAGAAGATTCGGTTTGGAAAATCATCTGCAAATATACAAGCCTTCCGGGGATTTAAAATGTGACCATTCGTAAACTTAATATGCCCGCTTGTAAAATGATTTGCACTACCACCTATTTCCAAGTAGGTACGTTCCAATTAGCATGAACGTTCCAACTCCCAAATCCGAAGTGGTCGACGACATCATTGAATAATTATTTGAAGTTCGCTAGAGGTCTCATCCTTAATTGGAATCGGAAAAATTTTCAATTTTCCAGGAAATTTGTCCGATTAGGCCTTGCGCGCATGCGCACCATCCATCCTGTTCAAACTACCAGTGTTTCTAACTTTTTTAAAAATTAATTTGATCTCTCATTGTATTCTAATTAAAGATCTCCATGAAAGAAACAGTTTTCTACAAAGTACTGCCCTTCTTTCTGTCCTCTTATCAAAGTACGGGGTGGCACTAGTTCACTTCATGGTACTCTAATGAAAGGTCTCAATGAAAGGACTTAATTTATACTAACCATAGTCTTCCTCCTCGATCCCTTTTCGTGATCGGTTATATTTAAGAGTGAATTGTCAAATGAAAGTACCTACAAACGGCGATTGGGACGTTTGGAAGAAATATAACCATTGGGCATTTAAATAAAATTTGATACATAGCCACTTCACTTGGAATAAAAGCAAATATAACGCCAGTTTCAAAATTTTGTTTTGCGCATGCGCAATCCCAACTTTCTTATTTATGGAGGGATTTAAATGAAACATAGCCACTGGGAATAAAAGAAAATTTAACACCAGTTTCAACATTTGGTTTTGCGCAAGCGCAGTGCCAACTTTGTTATTTATGGAGGCATTCAAGTGAAATTTGATATATAGGCTGATGGGCAGTGCGAGGAGCATAGTGTGGCTGAGGCATAGGTATATTGTATCATATTTTCCACAATTTTGAAATGACCGGCGGCCATTTTTATTGGTTGGTACCGGCTGCCTTAGTTACAATATACAAACAAAATCTCCATGAATCCATGGCCTACTATTTAAAAAGGCATTTATTGATTTTCATAGCATAGCTAAAATTATAGCTAAAAATATAGGTTGTGATACATCAATGTAACCAGGAAAAAGAATGAAAAAAATTGACATTAAGATATACAGGGTATTGCATTTAAAAAATACCAACTTTGGGTCAAATCTTAGAAACGGTGGTTCACTAGATTCTACGTTAAAATATCTAAAATAGGCAGTTTTTTATTTAATCTATCTTACATGGGAAGTAAGCTATGATAACGTCCCAGAAAATCAAACTCTTCGTTTTCACCCTGTATAATAGAAACAAACGTAGCTAGATGGTTTCACAAAAAAGTGGCAGAGGATCCCGCAAGTCTGTATCTTTGAAGTCTCATCCAAAGTAGGACACAGGGTACAAATGGATGTCTATTGCGAATTCTGCGATTTTCTTCTTTAATTTTTTTTCTCCGAAGCATGATTTTTCTAGGCCTTTCTTGTTCTTTGTAAAAATATTTTCAAAATTCTTACCCCCACCCCTGGTGTGAAAATTTCGACGAATTTTGAAAATTTTATGGGAACACTATTTGTGTTTAACAACAATCTCGACAACAATATGTCGAACTATTTTAAAAAAAATTGCCGTCCACACCGCCCTTCCAAAAAATCGAATGTAGAACAAACGCTTTTTTTTTAAATTTTCAAAAACTTTTGAACTGGGGGTAACAATTTTTTCAATACCAGAAACAGCATTGGAAAGAAAACCTACCTTAATTCGTTAATTCTACCTTTTAAATCAAGTTACCTTTGGCTGAAATTTTGAAAATTGATGGAGTGATTTCTTTTAACACAGAAAAGTTTAACTTTGACCGTTTGTCGTATAGTTAGTACTTTTTATGATTGGTAACACTGCAAAGTCATAGCCTTCTAAGTTTTATGATAATTGCGATATTCAATTTTTAACGGACAGTTACTTTTTGAAAAAATCATTTAGATATCATGTGTAATACATAAAGGCACACTAAAGTTAACCAAGCCATCGAAATATGCAATAATATACAGAGGGGTCTATTTAAAAAATGCAACTTTGATATAAATCAGAGGGTATTAAAAGTTTCAAAGTGTCAACCAAAGTAGGACACACGGTACAGTGAATGTTTACTGCGATTTCCCGCGAAATTTCTTTCTTCTTTAATTTTTTTTCTCAGAAGCATGATTTTTTGAAGCCTTTTTTGTTCTTTGTAAAAATATTTTCAAAATTCTTACCCCCAAATAGTGCACCCCTGGTATAAAATCTAATTTCAACGAATTTTGAAAATTGTCGGAATTTCCTGAAATTTTATGGGAATACTATTTGTGTGTAACAACAATTGCCGAACAATTTTTAAAAAAGTTACCGTCAAGATCGCCATTCCAAAAAATCGAATGTAGACCAAGCGCTTCTTTTTGAAATTTTCAAAAACTGAGTTTGAACTGGGGGTAAGAATGTTTTCAATTCCAGAAACAGCATTGGAAAGAAAACCTAGTTTAATCCCCTAATTCTAGGTACTTTTTAAGTCAAGTTACCTTTGATTGAAATTTTGAAAATTGACGGAGTGATTTCTTTTAACACAAAAAAGTTTAACTTTGACCGTTTGGCCTACGATTGGATGATTGGAACCCTGCAGAGCTCGCTGCAGAGCCACGGCCTTCTATGTTTTATGATAATTGCGATATTCAATTTTTATTGGACAGTTACTTTTTGAAAAAAATCATTTTAGATATCATGTGTACCTAATACATAAAGTCACCAAAATTGACCATGCAATCGAAATATGCAATAATATACAGAGGGTTCTATTTAAAAATTGCAACTTTGATATAAATCACCCTGTATAATAATTGCAATCTTTTAGGTTGTAACCTTAAGAGTCCAACATTCCTCGACAATGAATTTTAAATATGGGCGTTAATAAACCCACAATCTTCCACCCACGTACTAGTGGCCCACCCTCTGTATGTGCTATGGTTGCACGGGAAAAAATGAACAGGAAACGCAAACTTTGGAACTTTAATGCAGCAACGATCCCGATATGGTATATGTAAACGTATGAGCAATATTTTTCGAAACAAATGCCATCCATTGGAGCACGGTTTGAACGGGTCTTGGTCTGGGTGTTATAGCTAACGTGGAAAATCGCCCCAAGAATGTCTGAACCAAGGTAGTAAGTAAATATTTAACCATTAAACGGGTTGAGTATACGTGACCTGACAAAAAACACAATAGTGCAGATAAATTCCCCAAACGTGTTCGTAATTATTAATTAAGCGACCAATTAGTAAACCTTTCCTTACACTTTTTCTAAAAAACCAAATCAAAAATACGTCCGCGTGACAACGAACCAAACCACTTCCAATTATTACATTTTATTATCATCAATTATAGAACCGATTCAATTAAATTTCTATTAAGACATCCCAAACGTAATCAACGTGCACCGAGCTTGTTTCTCCGTCCAATTACTTTAAAATTGCCCGTGGGCATCGAATTCAATTACCTAATCTATTTCTAACGAAACAGGGATCTCCTATGTCGAAGGTTTGACGAATTCGAATTAGTGCCGACACACTTACGTTTTTGCGGTATTTCGTTTTAAACAAAGAATTACGCAAAGTGGTAGTAGTAGTTGCCATTATCAGAGTTGATGTAATTTATAAATAAACAGACGATACTATTCCGCGTAACGAGATTAGTAATGTGGGAAGCGTCGTAAATTACGTCACTTGCTAGGCATTCGAGTCGATAATTAGTGCAATAATTATTAACGAAAGCGCTCATCATTTTTTTCGGTTGAGTTAATGAAAAGGTCAACAAAATTCGGTGTCGCACGCTAACGTAATTAGTCGCACAGTTTTCGAGAAAGTACAGAGGATCTTTCGTCACAAAGGAAATCGGCGATTAGTAAAAATGGTGGCGTACCGTTGATTATTTAAATCTGATTGCACGGTGCAATTTATGACCTTGATTTATGGTAGAAAATGTCAGCTTTCTTGTACCCACACGTTAGGGAAAAGTTGTAGAAACTACAAGCTTTCTATCAACTGACCTAGTCACTTACTGCCGTTTGATCTTTGAAACTTGACGCGCGAAGATAAAAAGAAAAATTTCGCACGATGCAAGCGCGCCTAATTTGCCGAAAATTGCACATAAGCGCACCGTACACAAAGCACCACAAAGAGCACTAACCACGTTGAATGTAGCTCGCCAGCTGCAGGCGCAGTCATTCTACTTCGCGAGCACAAATCACAATAACCAGAAGGCCAGGCCTAGCAGCAGGAAAAGCGAAGAACCGACCACTTCTTCGACGGAGTGATTAACCCGAAAATAATGGCACTTTACGACGAGACATAACTCACTTACTTACATCCTTTTTCTCGTCCGAGCGCGGACTAACGCGAAAATCGTCCGCCTTCACTTTCATAAAAGTGAAGATCAAAAAAGGACCTTCGCCAATTCAACCTCCCACGCATCCGCCCATGTTAATAACCCATCGTCGGGCGGATTTGGCGTAAATCAAATTTAAAATAATGCAGCTCTGGCGGACGTGAAAACAATCGTAATTACTACCTTTCCCTATCTCCATACGCGCCGCACAAAAAAAGGGAAATATCAATTTTTTAATTAGTACCCTTCAGGCTGTCATTTCTACCGGATGCCATTCCGACCAGTTCTTAACTCAACCGGATAAGTAGATTAAACCTTTTGTTCCAAAATAGACGGCACTACGCAGTTCACAGAAGTGAACTATTTAATTTTTAATTTTTTTAATGTAAGATCGGCCAAAGGTCCTGATTTGGGGAATTGGCCCAGTTGATGAAATCAAAATTAATAAACCTTTCCAGTGAAGCCCACCCCTAACGAAAAATCTTGTTTGAACAAGCAGCGTCATTAAAAGCACTAACCACCGTCCATCGTTAGTGCTTCGTTAGTGTCTTTTAGAGCACAGCCTTTTCCGAAATGTAAATATCCCGTGGTTGATGCAGGTTCTCCGCCCTTTTTGAAAGCACTAACTACTCGTTTGTTAAATTTTCTTAGTGCTTTGATATTTTAATGGCAATTTCGATTTTACAAGTATTTTTTTGATCACAGATCACAGGTTTGTTTTTATTCGTAGTCGTTCCGATAAGTAAGCTAAATGCGGGATAAGATACTTTACAACGATTCAAAGGCTTACATAGCTGGGCGAACCACCTGATCCCCCAGTACCACTCACACAAACATAAAATACGGAAATCTTCAGAGATAGGTAAAACTTAAAAAAATTTAAACAAACCTCACTATTCGTAACTAAAAATCAAGAAGTCACAAATTAAGTGCATTTATTTTCACAAACACGCACTCGGCTTGCCAAAGTTACACAAATTTTTACTGGGTTCGTAAACACACGTGACTTTTAGTAAATCTAAAATTAAACCCTATCATTCCGTACTACTAGTTAATTTGTAACCGAAACGAATAAAAGTTAAACTGATGCCGAATCAAAAAATATGTTTTGCGCATGCAAACTAATGCCGATTCAACAATTCGTTTTACAAGCCATGCTGATCTGGTGAGACAGAATCAACCCCTTACGGTGTATTGTAAAAATGATGTATGTGTGAAGGTCTCGAGAATCGTTCGGTATTCAGTTTAAGATACCCCAACCTTAGCAACGTCCTGTGAATATGATTGTCGATACGAAGCACCCTATACATCATGTTAGTTATACAAACTGCCAACCGAAATCTGGTGGGATTACAGAAAAGGGAAAGAGAGCGAAGATGAGACGGATGGAATTTCTTGGATATGTTTACCATTTCAAAGACCTGCAGTCCAGTTTTTTCTTAGAAATGCGTGAAATGCAGGGAATGGTCGATTTTCGGGTGGTTTTTAGGGGTATTAGCAGATCAAATTACCGCGTGGCTTGGGTTGGTCAAATAAATAGGATTTAACATGTGTGTTCATGGTCTTTGTCTTGTAACCGGCTGAAGTGTAAAGTACGGCTTGTCTTGAAATATTTTGTTATACCTTAATCATTGCTGTGTGCTTTTGCTTTGTTATATCAGGTGAGGTATTTGCTTTATTCAATTAATCTATAAATGTGTGTAACTTGAATGCAGATTGTAACCCTTTACTTATGTACTTACTGGATTCAATCACTTGTACCTCTAAATGTGTAACCTTTGTTGGTATTGGCAATCATGTTTCATTAGCGGTAGGGCTGTATCTGTGCTGTACATACTTGCATGTGTACATATTTGTGTATTGTGCTTTTTAGTCACTCTCAATTATTTCATTGCATTTCATTATGCGCCCCACTGGGCCTGGGTAATCCTCCCGCCCGGCGAGGTATATTTGACATCTCTTAGTTTTGTCTGATGTATGTGTTGTAATACCTGGGGAATGGCTCGATTCCATTTTGGTTACTCATAGCGTGTTTGTAGTAGTTAACCCGGTTTCGAGAGGGCTCAAAAGTGCTGTACATTGGATATTGTTCATTATAGGACTACTCCGAATTAGGTTTTCCTGCAGTTTTCCTAATTCGTAAGGTAAATGCCGGAGTAGTATAGAACCACTTAAGACCCTCTGCAGGGGCGCCGCTAAAACCCATTATGCGGGTCACTCTGTAACCGTATTGGTATTAGTTTCAATATAAACATAATCACCTATTGCTTTTGGTGTTCCTTACCCATAAAACGCCCTCAGTGCCTGCTTAGAACTCAGTTACTACACAACGTAGGTGTCCTACATGACGATCACGATCTTAGTGCACTCGGAGTGGCCCCCGAGTGACAAATTCTCGCGGGAAGCTTAAACGAGAATATTTAAATAGGCAGCCATGTTAGTTTGGCATTCCCGCTACTACAGAAGATGGTCAAATATTCCGGTGTGACTTGAAGTTGGCATTAGCCGCCAAGGTAGCAGGAGGCTAAGATCATTACAAGTTGTATCGGATTTTTTTTGTTGAATTCAGGCTTATTACTGGTTTTGATGATGATCTTCAGTGCCCTTAATTGCAAAAAAACAATGTAGATCGACCTTCCATTTTATAACTACGACTTTGACTGACGGAAGACTGTACCGGTACAACACAAACACTTTTTAAATTCACAAAACTGTAACGATATAAATTTGTAGAATTATTTGTTCTAGGGCTTCTGTGGGAATTCTTCAAATAGAGAGCGGTAGTTTTGACGCGTTGGATTCATGATTACCGCCCAGTTTTCTCCTACATTATTACTCCCACTTCTTTCAACATGATATACAGGGTGAGAATTTTGTCTGGAACACTGAATATATCTTCAAAGCAATTTACGTACTTTAAATTTGTGGTCAGTGGCGTACTTCTGCAATTTACATAAAGACTTACGTGATAGTTTCATTTAGATTATTTCCATTGTAAATATTGTTAGAACATTTTAAATGGGACAGTTGAGTTTTGGTTATAGTTCAGAATGTACATAGAACCTCATTTCCATTTCATAATAAATGCCTAAAAAAATGGGGCCTAAACTCATTTGTTACTAGTAATCCGTAGATTTTAATCTAAGAAGATAGAATATTAAATGCTCTTTTCAAAAATCCAACAAAATTCAAAATTTTTTTGAAATTTTCTTTTTTTTTTAATTTTGTGTATCTTTTTCTTTTTAAATATCATCAATGGCGCGTTATATATTTTTGAAAAGAGGATTATATATAATGACTTTAGATTAAAATGTACGGGGTCTTTCATTAAAACAAAAATTACATTAGATCAGATAATTTTTTCCCCTGGTCCCGTAAACGGCAAATTAATTAAAAATCATTGTAAAGGAACTTCTGTATCAAACGTGCGTGTATCTCTTTTAACTACGATATTATAGTGTGACTATCAATTTTTTTCCCTCGCATCTCTTAAAGCGAGCGAAAATGTCTAACTTTTAATTTAGCATTTTAAGTTTAACCCAAAAAAAATCAGAAAATAGAAAAATAGAAGATAAATTGTACAGGTTGTTTCGATTCATCCTGCGTTTCGAAATAAATGCCCGCGATCATAATTTTCGATAGAAAACACCATTATATTCCACCCGAGTCGAAATTTTCCGTCTCTCTTGCATTGCATCCATCATAAATTGGATTCGATTTGTCCCTATATTCCCTGTATTTAAGTAAAGTTTTAATTATTTTGGAAGAGTATGTTTTTTTTCTTACCGATTTAAATTCCATTTAAGTAACTTTCGATTGGTGCTCATAGTTAAATTCTTACGCCATCTAGGTATTCCCTTTGTAAACCCGTTTAATAAGATGTAAGTTAGTTTTGTAGCAGATTTCTTATTACTTTAGTTCTTTATTTTCGCCACTAGAGGCCATCCTAGTGTTACAGGTTTCTTTTACAATAGTTCTTTGCTTCGCCGCCTGAGGTCGTGCAGATGTTTTCCCATCTTTCTCTTTTCTGCTTATGCAGTCGCTGTACTTATTCCTTTTCAGTGAAGATTCTGGTTACATGCAAATTATTATTCTTCGGTACGCCATTCTCTTTTTCGCTGATCCTTCGCACCCCTTTCGCGCCTCCTTCACACCAGCTTTCACACCATTATCCTACAGATTTGATGTGCCCTTCATCTTTACCCTCATTTGCTTCTCTATGTATTTACGTCTGATTTGTACTTCTCGTGATTGCCTAACACCGCCCACTCCCCTCCCCTATCATGTTTTTTATCCTTTCACACGTTCTTTGAGATTTTTTCACGTCTCCTTTACGTCTTCACCGTATGTCTGCACATGTGTTTCTTGTTCTTCGCCAAGCGAAAGAGTAGGGGTTTTGGAAAAGTAACAGAGGAAGAAACGAGAATGGAAAGGGAGAAGAAAGGGGAAGAGCTCGGGGAAGAGAGAAGAATACGAAAATGGGAAATAGAAAGTGGAAAAAGAATGTGGAATAAAGTCAGAATTGCCAATACAACTGATGGAAACAAAATGATTGAAGATAATTAACAGGATCATCAAGGGCGATAGAAGGGAACGACATACATGCATGAAGGCAAGACATTACATCACTGTAAATGGAACAGAAATGGAAAAAGTGAGATATTATAGGAGCTGGAGAAAAATCAAATCGAGATGATTATTAAAGCAAAAGTTATCAAGTACGTTAAAAACGAAGAACAATACAAATATGAACAGAAAAAGTGTTGAGAATTACAACAGAAAGAGGAAGAATGAAAGAACACCGAGTTAAAAACGCAGGATGATATTGGAACTGCAACATAGAAACAGTTAAAAAAAGGAGAAAGGAGAGAGAAAAAGATAGGATCAGGCATTATACAGTTGAAAAAAATAGGGCGTGGAACGATGGCGGTGAAGAAATACGGCACAAAAAACACCTAAAGAAAAAAAGAAAAACACAAAGAAAACGAAAAAAAATCACGAA